GTAGTCTCAAAACTATGATTTTGCTTGAAACAATATTTCAAAAGCGTGCTCACCAGATCACATGTATTGTTGACTGCCTCAAATGTTCTCTTTTGATAAAAGACAACAATAGGAATTCGAAGGTGCAACTTACTTTCATTTTTTCTCCTTTGTTCTTCAAATACTGGTCTTGCTTAGCCAAGGCCTCGCTAGTCAGCTGATCAATCCTCTCCTCATTACATAGAATTTTATTTCGCAATTCGTCAATTCTATTAGTGTCTCCAGATCCGGAGTTTTCCAGTACTTGAAGTTCTTCCTTTAACAACTTGATTTCATTTTGCATATTTTTAATCTTCGTCTGGCTCTCTCTAAAGGGTGCAAGAATTTCTTTGACATCTGCCTCGGCCCAGTTTCTCTGATTTTCCATAAATTGTTCAAGTGCTTCCTGAGCTTCTTTTCTCAAAATCTCAATGTTCTTATTGTTTGTTTCAATCTTATCCTCCAATTTCTTGGTATCGCCTGATCCAGAGGCCTTCATCTCCTTCAACTCTTGTTCCATAATTTTGTTCTTTTCTTGAGCCTTCTTGATCTCCTTTTCCTTAGTCAGCACTTTATTCTGATTTTCTGCTTGAATCTCCACTCTCACTTTTTCCAACATAGCTCTCGCTGACTTCGGTGACATGCAGCAGGAGTACATGTTTTGCGCTGCCACCACTAAGTTGACGATGTCCAGAGCGCTGATTTCTGTATGCTGATTAACAACTTTACATCCAAACTGATACACCATAGCAGCAAAATTCACTGCTGTGCTAACGGTCATTCCGCGAAGGATTCCGGTGATTATAGTTGACTCCCAAATAGTGAGCTGCCTGTTTTCAAGTGCAACATTACGAAGATACTTCGGTATAGCTTTGCTAGCTGCGAGCGTTGCTATAGTAGTGGCAAAATGGAAGAGTTCGATTGCATATGATTCTCCGTGACTTCCTTTATCCAAAATATTCAATCCTTGCCTAAAATAAGAAG